ATTTAATTAAAAAAATGCTTTATTTCTCTAATTCTAGAAATTTGATAGTGGGACTATCTAAAGATTACAGTAATAAGGCATTCTTAGTTGATAACATATTATTTCACTGTATATTAACAGAAAATAGACTTAAGATCACATAATAGACAGAAAAGGACAAGATGTGTTTGGCTGATCACTTGGGTTCCCCCTCTTCAGTTACTCAGAAATACTACACCATCCAGTTAAGAAAAATTGTTCATTGAGCTTAGATCACATTTTCTTTATACTCCATAAACTGGAAAGGATTATTTTTGTAATTAAGAAAATATTTATGTGATCACACAATGCTTAAAACTGATCACACAAGTTTTAAAAAGGAGAAAACCTCACAATGTAAAAGGTTACCCTACTTGTAAAAAATAAAAAATAAAAAACCTTATCTAAAGAAACTGTTGCTTGCAGGTAAGATTTAACTCTTTCAAAAATAAAAAAGATAAGGCTAAGCTAACAATAGCTCAGTAGAATTCCTTCTCCTGGTTATTTAAATACCAAAACATAAATCAATCCATGATCAGATTATTTTGCAAAGCAAATACAACTGAGTCTGAAATTTTCAAGTCGTGACTCAAAAACTGTAAAAGGATGATGCATGTTTTCACCAGCAAAATCACTGCTTTCACTTCAAAGTAACACAGGATTCACAAACAAAAAATCTGGATGATATCGGATTCTCTCTTAGAATTAACTAGGTCAAAGGAAAAGAAGTAACTGATTGGAAAGTAACACCATCTTTACTCTTTGCTTCAGGGGAGCCGCACAAGGAAATGTACATCTACGCGCTTCATTGCCACCCACGCTGCAGTAACCGTCCCGCATCTTAGGAACGCCCAACTCCTCACTGACCACCACAGATGCCCATGTGTTTTCAAGTGTGCCTGACCTGGAAAATCATTTACTTGCCAAAATGGTCTGTGAGGCTACCATCGCTTCCATCTCTGAATCTGGAAGCACAATTCCAAGCTCAAAACACTCACCGAAGAACTTCAATGAAAATTTGAAGCCCTGGAGTCCATTTGTCAGAGGCCCTTGAAAGGTATTTGGATTATCTGTATTTCTCTTGAAGAAAAACGCAGAAAATCCTTCCAGACTGTACTGAGACACCGATAATCAGATGCCAGTTAATTTACTTCACACCTTAAGTTCTCAAAATCCTGTAAAGTCTGAAAGGGAATACTTCTTAATGTTTCCATTGCTCCCTGTACAACAGATGTTTTTCTAACGGTGCTCAGTAACTGATTTCACAGACCAGATACTGCCCTCTGAGTGTCAGCACTCATTTGAACCTGCATATTCATGGGGCATCAGCATTACGTATCTAATTAGCATCACAAGACTTAACCTCAGGCATCCTTTTTAAATGAAAACTTGGATCTAAGTATATTTGAAGAAAATTCTTTTCCCAGTCAGGGATCATTTCTTTTCGCTCCCGGTGCTCTGTGATTAAACATTCTTATGTTTCACAAGCAGCTAACTGACGAATGCAATAATTCGTTAATTAATGAAAATGGTGCTTCACAAGTGTCTTACTATGACTCCTCCCCCTCATCCCTCTACTTTTGGCCTCCAGAAGCATCACTTGCCTGCAGCTTTGGCTGCCTTCCTTGAAAACAAAACAGGTGGCACTCAGACAGCAAGGCAGCACATGGTTTAGTGACAACCACCTTTAAGATATTATTAGAGTATCTTAAAACACAACTATGTTAAATGAGGATAAACCTCAAAGTTTCTTTCTCATTGTGCTGGAAAGTCAGGAATAGAATTCAGAGGTTTAATCAAATCTGAGTGTTCCAACCTATATGGAATGATAAATTGCTAATAAGTGTGTCTACTATCATTTGGTTTACTTCAATTATTATTCCCACTGGCACTTCGAAACGCCATGAAAGACAAGAAAGTAAACTAAGTCATCGCAATTGCTTTTGGCAATTGTCAGTTTTCTTCCACACATTCATGTACTTGTTTTTCATGCTGACTGTATTCCAGAGAACATAAAATGCATTTCTATTTGTCTTTCTATCATTCTCCTGTAATATATTAGGAGACTGCCCAACGAAATGGGACTAAAGCAGAATAGAAATTTGATCCCAGATCCCAGCTACCTGTGGTTAGTAACCAAAAAGTGAGGAAAAAACGTGAATATCACTTAATGTTCTGCTCTGCAGATAACAGTTGCAGAAAACCATTGCTTATGGGATGCAATTAGTTGAGCCTGTGTTGTAACTAAATGCTGAGACTCTTCCTGACTTGTAGTAGGTCTCCAAGTTTTAAGAAAATCTTGAACTCAAAGACAAAACTGACTTTCTCTAGTGGTCAGCCAAATAAAATGTTAATATCCTAGGCAATATGTAGTGGCATTTTTAACCATCTTCCCATGTCTTATTATAGTGCGTTATCTTCTACAGCCATTAACAGAGAACAACATAAGGAAGAAGAAGAAAAATATCTGCAAGGCTATCACCACAGAAAGCTATTTGGAGAACTTGTGTTGATTTAGAACTGCACAACTATGTCAACACGAATTTCTTCTCGTATGAAACCGACAGCTATGTCAAAATTTCAAGAGGGTTTTTTCAGCATTTTTAATGAAGCAGCTTTTCAGGAATTCAGAAACATTTCTCCCGATTTCTGATGAAAGAATTCAGCTCAAGGCAGAAGCGTGTCGTTTTCATTACGAAAGGTCTCGTTCCACTGTGTGATGTGCTGCTAGGGCTTCTCCCCCTTAAAGGTTCTCCTGTCTTGCCATCACAGCAGTGAACAGCTCTGCATCACGTGAACCTCGCTGCAATGCTAGGAACTCAAATTCTATCAGCCTTTGGTATGGGAAAAACAATGTTATACTGCTGCAGATTATGCTTTGCTGTTCCTGTGTGTGTTATCCGAACATTTCGAGCAAAGTGGGAAACTGTAAAAGCAGAATACTTAACGGCTCAAATTCAGTGACTACTGAGAAGAGCGTGAGGTCTGAGTGAAAGAACTGTATATTTATCTTGTGACAAACACAGCCATAACAAACTCTTTGAAGGGGTTTCAAAAGTGCACAAAGAGACGTTCAGAAATAACTCAAGGAATCTACTCAATAAATGGTTCAGGAAGGTTATGGTTCTCTGAGACTCAAGTTAATTTTTCAAACACTGTATTAGTAAAAACTGCAGTTCTTTTCCCTGAAATTCAGACAACAAACAGGATACCACAAAACTCTATGAACAATACAACCTAAAGTAATAAAATCCTCAATAATTCATAGAAGTGAGAGCATTGTAGTGGTTCAAATTAAAATAGATGATTCCCTATGGTTAAAACACAAATCATCCTAAGAATTGTTAATTCTCAAAGTCAAAAAGTTTAGGTGGAAAAAAATCAAATCAGCAGCACAAACACACTTGCAAGTCAGTACACACATTTGCTTCAAAATCCTAAGCGAGTGTTTGCTTATTCAAATTTTGCCTATGAACACTTGAAAGTGGATGGAACCAGATATGTCAAGAACAACATATCCCTAATGTAGATCATATTCTAACTAGTTGATAAATGGACAAAAGATTTGTAGCTAGCCCAGGCATTCATTCTTGCAGTATCTACCACTTCCTGGACTCTAATTTCTTGGGTTTCCTCATTAGCTCCTGAGTAAGTTATTATTGAACCGTACTTGGACAGTACTTTCAGTGCCTGAAACAAATTACCAGTAAATGGCCACATATGAAAAACTGATCAATTGACCATTAACCGAGGAACATAATGACACGAACTGAAGAGGCTGTGTGCAGCTTTAGAAGTACTCAAAGGCCATTTGAAAGCCATGTGGAGCTTAGAAGGGGATTGCAGTTTCAAAATGATAATCCACATTCAGCTGTAACTGCACTCCCAACTCAAGTTATAAATATTATTGTATCTCCTATTGAAAGAATCAAGTGTTTGAGAAATTACTGATTTTTTTCCAAATGTAAAACCAACAGCAGAAGAGCTATTTACATAACAGACTGAGTAGCCTCAGTTACACTGGGCAGAGAGCTCCAGCATAGTTTGCTCACTGTGTTGTTCTCTCTAGTAGTCAAAATAGACCCATTTCACACTGTGTTTCAACACAAACCTGTAGGCTACCTGACACCGTCCCATGGTATTATGCAAACAGTTTCAAGAGTGTGGACTCACACATCCAACCTTTGCAAACAAAATTACGTCCTTCACTTAGGAAAGTAACAATGCAGTTTCACTGTATATAAACTTCATACGGGATGCTCCATAGGTTACACAATATAAATTTAAATACAAGTTAAAGGAGTATATTTAAAGACTTTTTTCTTAAGAGAGTTGCATATATTATTAAAAGGAAAAAATGGTGAAAGCAACAACTAAGAACACAAACACAATAACCTGAAAAGAACAGTGGTTGAAACCCACGGATTACAGAATTAGGACTGCAGAATTATGACTGCAGGCTTATTATGGAGTTGTGATTATGTGATTCAGCTGGATATTGTAATTACCGTATTCTAAGTCTTACTTGTACATGTGGAGGATTTCGATTTAGCAGAGTGATACAAGCACAAGTAAATTCTGGTTACACAACAGACCCTCCACATGTGGAATATCAAAAAGAACCCAGCAACTTACAGTTCCTGCAGCCAGGAATATTAATGCGATGAGCATGATTTTAAGACTGGAATTTAAATTTTATTACAATTTAACTTGAAGAAAATTCACAACTGTCTACAACATAGCCTATACTTTTAAGAGACATTACAGAACATTCCTCTTCTCATGCTGTAAAGCAAGGGAGGAGCAATTCTTGTAACAAGACTGCTATGCTTAATAAAAACATACATTTCAAAACATCTTCCTGCTATAAAGTCATTATATGAATTCCATGGTATTGCACAAAGCATAAGAGAAATTGTCATTGTACAGGGGTTTTTTTTAAACTTAATAAAAAGACAATACAAAGTACAATAAGAAAGTACCTTTCATTTGCGTTCCAAAGGTAACCGCCAGTTTTGCGAACAGTTCTGGGTTTTCAAACTTATCTTCTTCAGCTTTTACCCAAAAGCTGTTTTCTGCTATCTCTTGAGGCTCAATCTGAAAAAAAAAAATAATAAAAAAAAATCATGTCCAAAGTAATTAATCAGTATTTTCAATAGTCAAGTTAAAGCCAATGCTACTAGACTTTTGTGACAATTGGACTCAATTAAGCTCAGGTACATTCCAGGTATTGCGTCCTCTTGACGATGCTTCCTGAACAAAACACAATCAGATGAACTACCCACTACTACGCTGCCCTAGACTACACAATGGTTTTTACTGTATTTCTCCCCTTCAACAACTCCCACCAGGCTTGATAACACATTAGCATCTGGGTTTGAAAGTGGTGCACCTTTCCCTTGATTGCTTTCTAGACAGTTCCCAAGTTCTTCACCATGGATATGCATCCCTGCTACCTGAGAACTGCAGAAGGAACAGCATTTCTTACACGGCCAGAGTACGAAATACCTTATTTGCAAACGATACGTCAATATAGACGTTTCAGTATCTCAATATTAAGTCTGTAGGAAGAACTATCTTTCTATGTATCAGAAATAATTTTATACCTGATAGCACTTTTTTAAATGTGGTTTCAAGTATTCAACTGTAAACACAGTTTACAGCATCTTATTTGATACTGGCTATATTAAAAATTACTCTTCAGCACAGAAGCTGAAAGCTGATTTTACTCTTGATGTATGATTCAGTGCAGCTATCTTGCTTTCAAAGTATGTGCACCTTCAAGTTTTTAAAGTCTTATCAGTTCTTGTTTACGTTTGTTTAAATGCCAGTTAATCTTCAAGGGCTGTTTAACTTCAAGAGGGCAGCAGAAAATTTATCATTACCTATTTGTAAACTTCACCGCAATCTCTTGGTTCTGCACCTTTTATCCAGTGACCAATCTGTTAGCACGTAGCTGCTTTAGCACCAGCTGCACGTAAGGCATTTTTAAAAACTACCTTAACCCAACGCTCTTGGCGAAGACAGTTATGACGACAGGAACTAAATTAAAACACTAAGAATTTTATTCCCACATCATGGCTCCTTAAAAGTGATGATCACACAGACTTCCCTCTCTCTCAGTAAGCAGGAGAGCTCTGGCACTCTTCCCAGAGCACCTGGGCAAAGCGTCCACCTGCAGTTACTTTCCACGGTCACACACAGCGTTCCCATAAACGCATGAATGTCGTTCATTACAAAAAAATTGGTTGCAATGACACGTATGTATTATATCCTAAAAAGTTTGAGTTTCCCATATGTTTACAGGATAGCGGTCCAATATGTTTCACAGACAAAACTTGTGCAACTGACTCTGGAATCAGGTACTACTTAACAAGGACAACTGCATATAGAAAGCCTGAGTTACACATATGGCACGAGTTCTTCCCTGCTTGAGACCCTTAAAGAAATGAAAACGATAAAAAAATTGTAGGAAAGAAATTATCCTAACCAGAAGAAGTACGGAGTCAAAGATGAGAAGCAATTTCAGAAGGGCACCATATTGCCAATCGCATACATAATTTTTGCTCCCCCTTAAAAAACTGGCAAAATATAAATCTGTGATGAAATCCATATTCTATAAGGAAAAAAAGTCCAGATGGAAATACTCAAAGAGATAAAAGGGGTTAATATAAAAATCAATAAGTCAAAGACTTTAAAAGAAGCTTACTTAACTAATAGCCACCAAAAATTTTCTTTAAAGCCCAGGTGGAAACGCATTTCTAAAACATGAGAATTTCCTTTAAAAAGGAGGAAGAACAGTTTAAAAAAAAATACAGAAAATTGTATTACAGGAGCTTTGAAGAGAGCACCTTCTAAACAGAAAAAAGTCAAGGACATTCAATGGTAGAATATTTTCAACAGATGATAAACATTTCATAGGCGGTGAAGTGACCTTTTTAATATAAATATATACATGGATTTTGAAGGTGAAAAAATTGTATAATTCAAATAAGTCATAAGAGTATATCAACTAAAGACTTTCATATGGCTAGGTGAATTTCAAAGGTAAAAAACAATCCCCAAATCTCTGGATTCTAACACTGGATAATGTCATATTCCTCAAAGCAATACCTGAGCATATTTTCCAGTATGATAACTCATACATTCTTTATTCTTTTTAGTATTGTACTGCAGCACTAAGAATGCACACTGAAGCCTGTTAATCAAAACCAAAGATTTAAGGTCTTTTTTCCCCTCAATACTTTTAATTCTTCCTCCCACAACCAAGAAAGTCCTTACATGCAAATTACTTTATAAGAATTATAGGGAGAAAAAAGTAAAGTGAATTTCAAATTTATCTTAGCATTTATTGAAATTAATACATTAAAAACATGTTTGACTATTCTGAATATCCTTCTACCTGAATATTTTGAAAGCCTGTTTTTAATCTAATGCTGCTAGATATTTCAGCACATCCCCAAATATTTGGAAATCCAGTGGCAAAACACTAGAGATAAGTTATAAACATTAATTATTCTGGTAAAAGATACTATAAACTGACATGCCATGCATTTCCACAAAGATTTTACCTCATCATACTGCTCTGACTCGTCACTTGAGAGAAACAGTCATTTCCCTATTCGATATTCAGAATTTAGAGGAACATAAAACCTAAGATTACTTTTTATTTAGACAGAGAATTTAAGTAAGTTCAATTCTCTTTTTAAATAAAAGTAAGATTAATTATTCAAAAATATCAGAAGACAGTCTAGGTCTTCTGTCGTTACCATTTATTGTATCAGAAATGATCCACAGCAACTTAGCCTGAATCACTTGAAAAACCCTGTGGGACAAACTCAAATGATTTCCAAACATCGTCCACTGCTGCTGCCCCAAGTGTGTCCACCTTAAAACTGAAATTCCCCACATCTGACGGGGCAGGCCAGCTGTGCAAGCACCCCACGGACAGATGACCTGGGGTGCTAGCAATGGTGTGGAAGCAGCCTGCAAAGGACCGTTGGTGCTACGCAACGACAGGATCCACTTGAGAGGCTTCATGTGGAACAGCTACAGCATCTTCAGCCAGGAGCAACATCTGACATCCCAGGGCATCCAACTCCAGCCACTACAACATGTTAACACCCATCTACATCCATACAAATTTCCCAATGCTTTTACCAGCTGTGAAAACATTCTGAGAAAAACATTGCGCTAATTCAGAGCATGATTTAAATTACACATTCAACAGTTCTTCAATGTTAAATTGCAATTTATGGTCAGCAATGATGAACGGTAGCCACCGACCAGCGTACCTGCATCAACAATTTGATTTTACTAAGTTCTTGGTACTACCACGCTATTGAGATCAAATACATTTTTCAAGGGAAGTGTCAGATACTCGCTGGTAGTACAAAGATTAAATAAATAACCTGACAAATGGGGAGCAGAGATCCAGTCAATCCCCACTTAAGTCCAATTAGAGCTCAAACCAGCTAGTATGCCATATAAATAGGTCCTCCTTTGATGTGCCTTGATGATTTGCTCATCTGCATTTTATCTACAGGAAACCTCAATACATGTATCACATTTTATACCACTAGAAAACTGCCAACCACAAACTGCGTTTAAGATATGATGGTTCAGTCTTGAGGCACTAGATAATTGCATCTATCATCAAGTTTATTTTTTTCTTTATATGGAAATAAGAGTGGCTACAGTGATCCAAAAAGGATTTTAAAGCAACATGAGCAGTAAGCTGTGTTTGTGTACAAGTAAATTTTTGTGTTTTAAGATGTTTTTAAAAATGGAATTTGCTTAAATATAACTATATGAAGACTGTGCAGCAGCTCAGTCACTGGAATTTAATGGTGCCCAAACATTTCACTTGAGCAGTCCCAGAGCTCCTCCATGTGGCCACAACCCTGCCCGCGCACAGCCGTCTAACCAACTCAACCACCATCATCAACAGCATCAACCAACTCAAACAGCTCCCACCATGAACCACCCACAAGTGCCATCACAGCCCACACCGGCAGTCCTGAACTTAAAACCCCATCAGACATCACAAATGTAGCAGGTTTCCCCCTGAGGCAGCATGCTGTTAGCTGTGCTTGAAAGCTGCCTTAAAACTGGTCCCGATGGTTTGGATACGTGGACCCAGCGTATGGCGAGGTACCAATTCACGCTCCCTGCGATTAACCGCATGCCGTCCCGTCTTCTCCTTTGGGTCGTCACAGTTTTCACTCTGCTTTGATACAGACACACAAGCAAGTGTCTGCAGAATGCTGAAATCCAGCGAGCGTTCTCCCACCGACCTCATTCTGCAAACCCGGGAGGAGTCACAGACGTGCTCTCCAAGCTGCCCTCGCAACGGGGCCAAAAGAAAAAGAGGACACAGCAGTTCCCTACTGGCATCTCCTGCTGGCCTCACGGAAATCCACTGGGCTCAGCACACATTCTCTGAAAGCTCTCATGGGAAGAAATTTCTCGTTCAATGATGTGCAACCCACAGGGTTTTTAAAAAGAATCTGGTTTTGGAACTAAGTTAGCTTCCAGGAATACACATCCGTCAAACATCAAACACAGAGTTCTGTCAACAAAAATCTCATTTAAAAATTCATTATAGGATACACTATCAACTATATCTCTAAAGTAAAGAAGTGAGGAACATCAGTTTAATAACCTCATAGAGCCATGACTTGAATTCAAGTTTAATATTAAACCACATACTGCTAAATCAAATGCAGTAATAATTTTACACAAAACTAGATAGATAAAAATTCACTCAAGTAAAAATTTCTTCAATGCTTACAATAAAAATTGATATTTAATAACACCATTGCCTTTAGAACCTTCTGATAAATTGCAACTGTCTTAACAGGGCAAACACGTGCCTTTCTCAGAGAAATAAAAACGTTGTTCAAGTGTGTTTTGTAGTACAACTATCACTGACAGGCAGTGAAAAAATTTCCTTTTGAACTTTCAGAACACATCACAAGACCAAAAGAAACGTGAAGACAAAATAATTGGCTTCATTTCTTAATTAGATGCTTTAATTTATAATAAATTACTGTATTTATTCAGAGTATCATGGTAAATACAGAGCTATTCCTTTTAATTAGGAAAAACTCTTTCGTCAATGCCTTCCCATCCCTCTCTTTCTAAGCCAGTCAAAGTTTTAAGCTTCACGCAAGGCTTCTAAAACAAAAATAGATTACGCAATGAATCGCCACCATGACAGTTTCACTTAAACCTAATTTTTAAAAGAAATTCCTACGGCATAACCAGAACAATTATGCATTGTTCTGTCCAGAAGATATCACAGGTAAAATTACAGTCTCTAAAAGCATGATCCGCTTTCAACCTGCCCTCAGAAAAACAAGAATAAAAATAAATCATAAACCAGAACTTCTGGCTCTCACAGCTTGCCTAACCCCGAGAAGACAGAACTAAAATCGGAGTTCTAATTTGCATCACATTCCAAAATTCCATGTACCCAGTCATACGCAGTTTTACTGTGTTTTACACCGAGACTCAAATAAAACCTCTTCATACATCTCCTTTCTCGACATACTTTCTTAGCTACTTCCATTAAGCAAAGAGCTGTAGTTACTCTTTGACTCAACATCCTTCTTTCTGTCAAGTGCCAGACTGTCAAAGCCCCTAAATGGCCATCTTGCCAAGAGCTTTCCACCCAATTTATTTCCTCCATCCTAAAACTGAGCAATACTTTAATCATTTAACTTGTCTAACTAGCCCATCTTTTTTCTGAAAAAGGTAGTAACGTGATCCATAAAGTAAACATTTCATTTGGTAACTTAAACCTGCTTTAACCAAGATATTTTACCTTTGAAGCACACACTTGGCAACTCCAATATCAATTACAATTGAAAACACGCAGAACTCAGCTCCAAAATCCACCAAAATTGAGAGCTGCAGGTACTCCCAGAACCCGGGGTGTTGCGGGCTCTTGGCAGCATTAAACACTTGGAGCTTACCCTATAGCATAAGGCGTCTTGGAAAACCAGTACCAACTGAATCACAATCACTGCATCCATTGCTTTTGGATAAAGAATTGAATTAATCCCCAAAAACACAGGTACTATTAGAAGTCCAATGTAAACTCTGGCACATAATCCTCCTTCTTCCTCAAAAGTCATTTTTTATCAATGGGAATAAAAACAAATGTAATACCTTTGACCAGTTGATTCTCTTCATTGTGACTTCCAGCTTATACTTTTTCTTCTCCTTCATCCCATGTGGCAAAGCTGGCATCACCGGAAAGGGAGCAAAAGGAATACCTCCAAAAGCTGGTGGCATTGGAGCGCCACCAAGAAGCGGTGGTGGTGGAGGTGGTCCTGCTCCACCAGGTAGTGGTGGTGGTGGAGGCGGTCCTATTCCACCAGGCAGCGGAGGTGGTGGAGGCGGTCCTGCTCCACCAGGTAGCGGAGGCGGTGGAGGTATTGCTGCTCCACCCGGCAGTGGAGGCGGTGGTGGTATTCCTGCTCCACCAGGCAGCGGAGGAGGTGGAGGTATTGCTGCTCCACCCGGCAGCGGAGGAGGTGGGGGTATTGCTGCTCCACCAGGCAGCGGAGGCGGTGGAGGTATTGCTGCTCCACCAGGCAGCGGAGGCGGTGGAGGAGGAGGAGGAGGTATCACTCCACCAGGCAGTGGAGGTGGTGGAGGAGGAGCTGCTACTCCACCAGGTAGCGGAGGGGGTGGAGGTATCGCTCCACCAGGTGGCAGAGGTGCTGGAGAAGGTGGCACATTCTCACATTGTTTGGTTGGAGGTAAGGATGTTACTTCTGTCAGCTGACCTGTCAGACTTGGACCCTGTAAAAGAGAGGAAGGAACTCTTTTCATCAGGGGCGGAAGGAGGTTTAGTATCAAGTTGAACCAAATAGGATGCCTCAGAGTAAACTACACCTCAAGGAAGTGCGAAATTCAACCATTCTCCTATTTAAATGAGAAGTAATAATAATAGATTATACCATGTACCATAAAACTGCCAAGTAAACTGAATATCCTAGCATTTTTATAAAAACAAATTGTTTCCATTTTAAAGAAAATTTAATAGTAGCAGTAACATTTAAGTGAACAGAAGAGCATTTTATTTCTTACCAATGCACAAAACATTTATCCCACTTAGGATATCCTGGCAAGCTGGGGCATCAGAGATGATAATAACAAATAACCACACTGAATTTTAACAATGCTGATCTGCTGGTGCAAAATTTTCTGCAGAAATCACTGAAGCAGCTATTGCAGTGCAAGAGGTTACGGGATCACAGTTGTTCATAATTATTCCGACATCTCGTTTGGGGGCGAGGAGGGGAGAATGCAAATCAATCATGCTTTCTTTTCAGTCTGTCTGCAGTTGTTTCTGCAGTGATAGGAAGAGCAATTGCCATATCCATTCTCATAAGTTGCAAAAGGAACAACGAAGAGAAATGGCAGCATGTTAAACCGTTAGAGAAGTTTCTGCAGTGATAACATGATCCTTCCCCAGTTCAAGTTCCTCACAAACTTCTGTCCTTCAAGAATATCTGTTAACAAGCAGCACCAGGAGCTATGCACAAACCATCATAAAAGCTCACATTCTATTTCCTCTAAGTAATCTTTTATTATGAAATTATTATGTACTATAGGCAGTTCACTTAAAATTATAAAAAAAAACGATCACTTACTGTTTCTACTTTAAAGGAAGTAAGAGTTTAAAAACTCCTTTTGCAAAATATATAGAAGTAATAATGTTAAAGCATGAACAAGCACTTGGAGAAAAAAAAAAACACTCAGGCTTCATAGCCTACAGATATTTTTTCCTCAATAAAGCAAGTATCTGTGACAGATGTTGAATATACCTTTGAAAAAAATGTTACTGCCATTAACTATCCTTAATAGTTTAAACTGGCTTAAAAACAAAATCAATGCAAATATATATATTTCAAACTCCACAGAGACAGGACACTCCTAAGTAATTTCTTTTTAGTTCTTACAAAAATAAAAAATTCAACTGTGAATCTTACTTTGATTTAGTTTTATTACCTGTGCTCGTAGCTGCTTGATTTCTGATTCAAGTTCTTTGATTTTCTCTTCTCGTTTCTGAAGCTCTGCTTGCGCTTCTTGTCGAGCTGTGAACTCTTCATCAAACTGTAATGATTAACCGATAGAGAAGTGTTCGTCCATTTATGTCCACACTAGATATTACGCTTTCAGGAATTCAGTATCACATTGAAAGCAACAGAAGCACTTGTAAAACTAAAAAAAGTCCTGTCCAGCATGTGTTGCTCTAGTACCACATAATTTCTTCTGTAAGTCCTGACCCAGAACCACTCAGATGCTACTCAGTACTAGCTCCAAGTCCAGCAGGTCTTTCCCCTACCAACAGAACACTGCAGGCTTCTCAAACTCAACTCGACCATGCATCTCCAGCAGCCAGCTCAAATCTGGAGATGTGGGCAGCTTCAGCGGTATCATCATAAAGTAACCCAGGCAAGGAGGAATCCAAGTAAGTCAGGAATCCCTTTAGTCCCCATACAAAATCAAAGTCCAGTGTTCAACATCATCGATATATTTGCCATGTATTTTCATCCTGTGACTGTCTGCTTTGTTTAAGAGATTACTAGCATCTTTAAAAGCTTCTGCAAATCATTCCCAAAGGACAAAGCAACTTATCACTAGGAAGAACATGTGTTGGCTGCCACTAATGAAGCACATTATGATAAGCAACTCTGCCAGGAAAGCATCACAACAATTTGCTTTCCATAAAGTTCAGACACTCCAGCTCCTACTGGAAACATACCCACATCTAATAATGAAGAGAAAAAAAGCTAATGACTTCATTCAACTCTTCATACAAAATTTGTATCGCCACGCTCAAGAACGTGTACTGCCTTTTGGTCTGCAAGAGACTTCTTAGACCACAGCAAGTATCAGAATTCTGAATGCTTTTGAACACACAACATGGTATATGAACATTAGTACTATTGCAGCTGGTATAGTACATTCTGCATGTCATATAGTTTGTGATGAGCTGAGATGACCAAATTATCCACTACCATAATGCAGGAAATAGGAGCTGAAGCAGCTTGAGAAAGTATGTTTCAGCAAGATACTCTCAGCACAAACACCAACAGCGATAAAGCAGAGGATAATTTCTTAGAAACACCCTCCAAAAATTATATTACAAGAAATATACTGTGCTGGAATTCTTCCTACAGAAATAATTTTTTAAGGTCTAAATAAATAAAAACTGACCATCATCACAATAGGGCTTAGTTATCAAGTTCCTAATAAAAGACAACTAGACCAGAAGAATAAATCTGTTAGGAAAAAAAAAAACAGGTTCCAAAATGTACCGTTAAGATTCTCAAAAGTAAATAATAAGAAAATAAATTACTCTTCCTCATAACATAATAACTTTCCATGGGCACTATAAGGAAATAAAGCAGTATTTTAATGTTAGCATCTCTTTGCCTAAAGAGCTGGTGCCGCTTTTCAGTAAGTTTCTTCAGGTTCTAAAACACGGCTAGAGGAAGGGTTCTGAAGATTTTCCTGTCAAAAGTTTTGTTTTTTAAGCATAGACATGCGCAACAAGTGGAATCTTTCCCATAAAAACAGCAACAAGTGGAATCTTTCCCATAAAAACAGCAACAAGTGGAATCTTTCCCATAAAAACAGCAACAAGTGGAATCTTTCCCATAAAAACAGCAACAAGTGGAATGTTTCTCATAATTATCCACAGTAGAAGAATACAAATGAAGATATGCACAGCTAATACTACTCATCTACTTCAAGATTCCAAGTAAGCTTGAATCTACTGTTTCTACTGTGAAACAAACCTACAACGCTCCCATTAAAGACTTTTGTCCCATACATTAAAAAGAGCGATGGTTAGGTCTTACCTTTCTGGAAAATTCTGCTGCTTTCTTTTCACTCTCTTCTACTTTAGCTTTGTCCACACATGCATCTAGATTCAAATATCACAGAGAAGTCAGGTAAACTGTAGTGCAGCTCTGAGGTACCTTCCAACCATAACTACTTGATGATCTCATGACACAAATGCAACAGGCAAAAAACATACAACAGATTAGGAGATTGCTCTGACCAAACATTTAGTGAAATATTTTGATAAGCAAAATCCATAAATATAAACTAAATGGTGAGGACACAGGACCAAGGAAGATGAATCATCACAGCTGTTTTGTCTCCAACACATTTGAGCTTGCATGCTCGTCTCTTCTATATGAATCTACTACTAAGTAAGAGACGAAAAAATTATTTTTTTCACTAAGTAATAGTTACTTTGGATGTTTCAAATCAGAAAGCCTCCTTTCCAGATTAGGAATTCAAAATAAAGCACTTCCTTATTGCAGTAAAATTATTTCATAGGTAAGAAGAATTTAGACTGTGAAGTACAGATTCCTTCACTCAGTGACAGAACGCACTTCTATTGAATTTTCATACAATGTAAGACTAAGCATTTTGTAAGCGAGGCAAACACAAGTAATGATATATTATGGGTAGAAACTGGCATGGAGAGACAAACCAGTTATCCCTAAAACTAGTAGGTCAATGTAAACAAAAGGCAAGATGAGGTAAGATCAAATGATCATGTTCCTACAGTCAGAAGTTCTTCTCAGACATGCAGAACGCCTTCTGGAATGCAATTTCCTCCCCCCCCATCCCACAGTGACCCTGTACCGCATCCTTTCTTTGTTCCTTTTGTCACAGCACCAAAAAACATTCTCCAAAATGAATGTCTTGTCCCAGAGCAATTGCTTCTCCCTATGAAACAGTGACTCCCAAGACACGCTTGTTTACAATCTACCCCACCACTCTTCAGAAAAGCAGAAATCGACACTTAAAAGTGCTGATAACTGACATTTAAATCATATAGTATTTAGTCATCTGCTTCTTTCCCATATACATGAACATCAACAGCCCTTCAATGCTTTAACTGATTAGTCTACCTTAAACTAACCTCAAATACTTGAAAAATATTACAGAAAATATTTTTAGAATGAACCAAACAATAATTTAAAATCCATTAACAATTAATGCTAATGTAAATTCTGGTATTTCTAACTGACCTGAAATTCGCACAATTAATCAACGAGCATTTTTTGGCTATTAAGAATATCTTATTCAGATATAAGTCAACAAAACTTTGGAGAAGCAAACTTCATCAGTGGCATTTTATTAAAGGTGGCAGAGTTTGATCTGGCCTTCTCCACAAGTACACTTATTTCCATAAAACTGAAAAAAATCCCACTGTCTATTTAAGTCTAGACAGAAGAATACAAAGAAGAATTTGCACTTCAGTAAAACGAGCTAAAATCGCTTATAGCATACAAACCAATAAGGTGAGTGAAATCCACGTCCATCCTCCCTCTACATTTAAAATCGGGGTCCGTGCCACTGCAGTGCAACACTATCTGTGATACGCATTCTTCTATTATCTTGTAATACTGAGGTCTAACAAAGAACACATTTTACAAGATAATAAGAACATGAATCATTTATGCAACACAGAGGGGAGGGATGGGACAACGCTAACTCCTAATACACGAATTACACAATTGCCAGTAAAAGTTAAAGGACTTATTTATAGTCCAGCTAATAAAACATTGTTGGCAGTTCCTCAGAAGAACATCTGAGGAAGTTCAAGACTCTACAGAATATTGTGCACTTTTCATTTATCCTTTACCAAAGAGTGATCAATAAAACAAACCATGCCTTTATTATTTTCAATATATGCTGCAAGAATTATTCAGCACATTCTCAACACAGTAAATTCCATCACTTTCAACAGTACCAGTACTCAATTACTTAGAAAATGAGTTAATTACTAACTTAATTTCTTGATATACATCTCTACACGACAACATCAGGAATGTCTAAATTAGGGAATTCTGTGTTAAAAATTATTAGTTCTTACTAGTGTAAGATATTACATCGCAATTTCATATACCATTGAGGCTTCAAAATAGGAACCTCTCAAACCTAAACTGATGATACTTCAAATTCCAAATTGAAAAAAAATATATGTATATAAACTGAAGATTTATCAGGTTATATTTTACTTCTTATTTTTATCATCTAGGATATCAAGTCTTTTTACCAATCTTTTACAACAAAAGACTTACTAAACAAGATTTTGTATCTGGTACTTTGACAGTGTTAAGACACTACAAGGTGCACCTAAGAGATTCTGACACTGAAAAAACAAGGCACTGTGGAAGTATTTAAAACTATTAGTTACACAACTAACTCTCAGTTTCTTTGAGGTCATGAAGCTATGAAACTCGAATAAACAAGTTGAAGGCATTTGGGGATACGGTTGTTAGAAGAAGGTTTAAGTCTTTGAAATAAGAACACTGTATTTAACAAGATCTTTTCAGTACTAACATTAGGTAGAAAGAGAAATAACACATCAGCAACATAGAGCAACTACTCACAAATAATTACGAGCTACTTAGTTTACCACGGTCTTGATTTCTATTCTTCCCCCTAGCTTCTCCAAAAAACCTCAACCTGACAGCTGACACTTACCGGACGTAGTAATCACTCCTGATGAGAAGGAAATGTTGGAGAATTGACAAGAAGTAATTCTCAGAAGAAGTATCTTTCAACATATTATACAGCAGATGAAATACTTCATTGACATCAGTGCAAACATTGTTAAGGAAATACAAGAACTTGGAAAAAAACACCACCAAACAAAACAAAACAAAAAAGCCACAGCCCATACCCAAACAACAAAACAAACCCCACAACACAAAGCACCCACGTCACCTCCCACTAGGATTGTTCAAGTAATGACTTTTAACACTCTAAACTATGCTTGTCAGTACCTCTAAGATTATCCGCAGAAACTATCCCATGTTTAACAATTAAGTTATGTTTTACTACTGTGAAAACTTACACTACATCCACTCACAGAATTCTGTGCTAATAGGTATTTCGCACAAAGCTTTCAGATTCATTCTGAAGTCGGCCAGGCTATTGGCAAATATCCTGCAGTCAATCATTTTAATTTCTTAAGGAAGAAAACTACCTGCAATTACCTGCTTTGTAAGGTATCAACATTACTTGGTAGTAATTTTATATTCCTCTGTTTGGTTGCATCTGTCTTGCACTGTTTCTCAAGTACCGGCTACCACTCTCAAAACATTGCCAGCAAAAATTACGATCTTACGTAATTTACGCTTCTTCACCTCCAGAGAAGGTATCTCAAGTGCTTCAGAACCTACTGGAACCATTATTCCAAATCAGTTAATCAAAACTATGTTTTCTTCAAACTTACCTTCTACAGGTATAATTTTCTATCTTCATATATTACAAAACAGAGTGTAGCCTAGTAAGTATCACTTCTGAAAATTTCAGTTCCCAATGACTTAATTTGACACACAAATTTAAGTACTCATTTTCTAAATAAGTTCTTAACAAAAACAAGCAAAAAGAAATCTGCTTGAGAAAGTCCCTGACAAGATACGCAACTGTGACAAACAGACTGCGCGTAGGACATTCTAAGTTACATTTAATAAAGTTATTAAATGATGCAATAAGTTATAACACCACTTCTGTAAAGGATATTCCATTTCAGCTCTGATATCATTGAGACGATGTGACAGTTCAATTAAGTCTTCTTCTTTGTTCTCATCAAACACTTTCAGCTGAATATCAAGCTCTTCATTATCCTTATCTTTCAAGCCCTATTTTTCAAGACATAGTATATCTTAATTTTCTCTTTTTAAAAGCGAGCATTCTCCCCCTTCAAGAATTATATCATGACAAAATATAAGACATTAACCTTTGGAACAGGAGTAAGCTGTAACTCAGTGCCCGAGGGGTTTTATTATTGTTGCAGAATTGAGGAGAAACTTAGGCAAAATATCAGCAAATATAGCAGGTACGAATTGTAGAACAAACATGAGGCCTTCTAATTGAGTTCTCTTAACAGGAAATAGCACTTTGTGCTTGTTAATATCACTTTCTTCAAAATGAAAAGTATAAGGGTGTTTAAGAAAGAGAAACTCAACTTAAGAAGCATAAAGTATAAGAAGGATACCCTTACAACTTCTGTTATCAAGTGTATCTAGACATTAAAGTATCTGCATGATATAAAACCTAACACATACCCTAAGAAAAATTAACATACACACATTGGTTGCAGTTTCAGTGCCAGATGTGCTAAAATCTGAAGGTTTTTACTTCTGATAAAAGCTGATGATTGAAAACTCATCTTAAAAGTTAGAGCAGTACAAATACTGTTTCAGACAAATACAAGCAGCTATTCCTTCACTCGTCATTTGTGAGAAACTGCCGAGCAGCTTAACTATGCATGTTCTTGACGTAAGCATCAGAACTTGATCAGGAGCTACAGATCTGCCCAAGTCACACACCTTCACACACAGCTACCCATGAAGGTGTCCTTCTGTGCAGCTGCACGAAGACACACAGTCTCAAAGAGAATGAAGGAGAATATTTGATTTTTTCTTAAAAATTCCAAGTGCATTTTCATAATGCAGATTAAAGAAAAGCAAATTTCAAAGAAAACAACAGAAAAGGCATATACAAAGACAGTTAATCCAAGATTGGTTCCACAGCCAGACTCATGTTCGCTGCACATGCTTTGAGCATATTGTGATAAATCTGACTACCCTAATTTAATTCCCCGTATACTGTGTTGTTTCAGCTACCGTTCCAGTCTAGATAGCTAACGAAAGCCTAAATTTGCAACTATGCAGTATGAAAGCAGATCTGAATTGACAGTCCCTTCCAGGCCTGATCTTCCCCACACCCAAATCTTTGACATCTGCTACTCTCAGTAAAACAACTTAGTTCTCTTCAACAACCACAAACAGTTGGCTTGGATCAATTCCTATGTACAAATGACTTACAGGCAATATTTTCTTCAGGCCACAACGTAAAAACTCATTTCTCAAGTGTATCCTGAAATCAAGATCTTCTGGAGATGTAACAAGGGCATTGATGAGCTGCATACACGCTACCTGTTAACAGAAACAGAAGCAAAAACTTTTAGTAATAAATACTGTTCTTTAATTCTAAAGTGTCAAGAGACATGTATTTTCATTATGTGGCACATGAAACGCTTCAGTTAATCTAAGCAACATCAAATACTCTTCAGTTTTCATATTGCGAGTGCTTCTGCTATGTCAAAATTGCATCACGAAGGATCACACTTTATTTCAGACAGCTACTCTCACACTACAGTTCCACACTGCAACTCCCTCTCCTTCTCCATATTTGCCAATTCGAAAACTGCCTGTTTTTACAGTAATCACAAATTTTAAAAAAATAGGAAGAAAATGAGAAAACAAACCAAATACCCATACACAAAATAATCCACATCACCAGGTGTCTTTTCTACTCCTGCACAGCACTTTTGCAGAATGCCTGAAGTCTCAGGATACTGGCTAATGCTTTAATTGAACAGCTGTGCACTTTAATTGATTTACTTTAAAACAGGTAGACAATAGCATAGTGCCGAAAGTGCTGATCCACATTAAAAGATTCAAATGGGACTCCAGGGAAGTACCAAGTCTGGTAAAAGATGTTAACTGCAAACAGATGTAGCATTTGAGTTGAAAAAAAATAAAAATAAAAATTAATAGCTGCAGAGAAAAAAAGCCAGATGAAAGCATCCTTCCTGTTTTAATTACACTCACTATTTAGTTTTAATGGAACATCTTATGGAGTCTTAAATTTCTATTAAAGCACTCTTTCAAAGGCACTTCCTCTAGGTAGCTGCATCTTCAGATAATGGAGTATCATCATGCACACTTGAATGCTTCTTGTTATTTTACTACTATGACATGACTTAACAAGCCAAAGTACATGTCCAATCTGAAATTAATAGAGAAGAGGTGCCATCTGCTATGATTGCTTTCGCCAGAAGAGACTCTTTCTTAATGGCTTGTGCTAATACATTACAAGTAAAGAACTATTTTGTCAGAAGCAAGTTAGTGAGTCCTGCAATTGTACCTTTACTGACGTATAAGTGAGGGTTGTTTTCGGGGTGTTTTTATGTTGTGTTTTGTTGGTTTTTTGGGGGGCAGGGGCAAGAATGTTATGTTGTTGGTTTTGTTCGTTTTAAATCAACAAGGTCATAAAGTAGGAGGTAACTTCAAAATTGACTTACTTCTCATAGCATTATTAAGATTAGAATTTCATTTATAGAAACTTCCTGAACATCATCAGCTCTGAAAGAAGTACTGATGGTAAACATAGCTCTAAGACAATTATCGTTGAACTATATATGATCTAATAATGGTAAAAGTATCCCTTCCATGCAGGTATACCTGCGCTGCTTGCATTCTACTTCTCTATCTTTCAGCCACGACAGCTGAAACATGGATTTTAGTATAAAATCTGTATAAATACTGTATTATGAGAAGGAAATAAGTCAAAAGCATCCTTTAGTAGGATATTCAGCCACTTGGTCTCTATGCAAACACTTACAGTTACCAAAACAGCACAATTTTAAAATGCTTACATTCTAAGAGCAACCAAAACTCTTGGGCTACTCAGGTGTATTCATTCACTGACACAGGCAGCAATGAACACGTGATGTGGGACATGACTCAGTAAAGATCACTGGCACGGAAGATTGTTTCTTTTATTGTTTTATAAAAATAAAATTAAAAACTCACTAGATAACCTTACGAGATGCACCAGTGGCTGATGAAGGGTAGATGTCAAAGACACACCAAGGAATGCGCAGTTCTTGTTGAGAAAGGTAGCAGCGATACCCTGCTGCACACTGCCCACCTCAAACCTGTCCTGCCAAAAACGGACTTACCTCAGCCACATTTGTCATAGTTATTATATACCTGAATATTTAAGAGGTTGCACATACTGCTCCCAAAAGTCCCAGCATGTGGATCTTACATATTTCTTAGAAACGGAAGGAATCCACGTGCCTACCCCAAGGAAAGAGCGTTACGTTTTATGACACAGGACCCAGAAGGAGAGTTAGCAGGAATCTAAATTACTACATTCTACCGACTGTGCAACAGAACTGTAGTTGATCCAGTTTTTCATATATGACTTTGTATGAAAACTAAGCGCCCCCTGCACAAAGGTCATTACATCAAGCTAGGTGTTGATCTTCAGCTGACTATAATGCCAGTATACTAAGGTGAAAGCTACAAAAAAAAAAAATACTTGATACTAATCAGTTTTGACTGTGGCTTATTTCTGTTTAATGTAAGAGGATGGCTGTGTTCAGAGACATTAAGTCTGAAGTATCTAAAACTAGCAGTTTTACTCCCACTTAATTTACTTTTCATATTACTAAATTATTAATTATGGCTGTCCTTGTATCATTAATTTTCCAAAAAAGGTCAACCATCCAATTTACCAGAGATTGGCTAGGATTTAACATAAGTTGTCATTACCAATCAGATCAAGTTACCAAAATCCTTCATAGCCAAACAAAACTTTTCATTGGAGTTCCTAGAAAAATTCAGTACAATGAAATCCTTCAAAATACTGAACTATTTTAAGAAGATCTACACTTATCTATTTTTTCATCCAGTAATATTACAAAAAGGTTAAAAATACTGAAAATATGTTCTTGCCACAGGTACTCAAACAGTAAGATACTTAAGCGTGTGCTCAGTTAAGGTATCCCAGTTGCGGTTCTAAATTCAAATACTACGAGACCACAAGACAAACTTGTTTGCTTTTTACAAATCTATTACTTTGATGGAATCAGCTTAATGCCAGATGTACAGGAGTTGGTTGGTTTTTTTTACACTTTTTTTTTTTTACTTTGGGTGGGGCAAGACAGGGGGAACCAGCAATGCCACTTCAGAGTACTTTTTCATGTTTCTTCCCTAAACCTAGAAGTTGCACAGGGAGCGCTGCCTCCAACTTGCTAAACTTCCTCAGGGCTCCAGGAACACAAACTAAGAACATTTCAGAGGACAGGCAGAGAGCTGGATTTTTATTGGCTCATTAAAACACATAAAATTCACTGTCAAGAAGATTAAGCAGTGGCAAAGATAATAGCACACTTTCACAGACTTAACAACCTGAGCATTGTATCTGGCATCCCAGAAAAGGAACATAACTAATTACTCTTTTTATTAAGGTCAAGACTCTTCAATCCTATTTTGGGGACAAGGGAGTTTCTTGGTTTCACACCATTAACAACTAAAAAAAAAAATTTAATATCAGCAGCCCACTTCTATTTGTTTTTCCTCTTTTAGTGAACACTGGAGTAACAACACTAAAAATTTTACTGATAAAAAGATTAAAGGTCATACAGTAACACGGTCTTCGGTATTTTAGATTATTTTTGTAGCATACAAAAAAATAAACCCACCTGTAGTTGTAAGAATTCATGGTTTTCCAATCCTTCAACAATCTGAGAAAAACGTTCCCTATTGTGCCTTTCAGCAGCAGTTGTTATAGCACCTAAAAGCTTGTCCAAACTGCAAGAAAGATCAAATGTCAAGAAGCACACCACAACCATATTTCTCAATTTAGGGACACTTGGCCCATTACTTAAACAACTCAGGACTATAATGCACTGACAGAGAATCTGAATACATTTACCTACACTGATCTATATCAAGCTGAAAGCAAACCAAAACCAAAGTGAATTAATTAGCACTAGGTACTAACTAACATGTTTAACATCTGGGAATTCTAATAAATTCTCTTTTCAGAGATCTAAATGTTTTTATTTATTTATTGCACAGAAGATGCAGAATGTGCCATTTTTAACCTTCAGAAAATTAAGACACTCAATAATTCAAAGCAAACATATGCCAACTGATTAACTTTGTTATAAGTACCTCATGGACATGTGCTACATGACTCCACCACTTGAAATATTCAAAGCTCCAGCTATAAATGCAAACTTTCTCCCCCTGTCAGATTTGTTATGTTTAGTTAGAGGGGTAGTATTCTAATAAAGTCCATACATATATTACTTCCTACATTATTTCCTGAACTAATGAAATATCATAACATGTGGTGTCAAATCAGCGATTTGCAAATGCAACAACTTCATCTCCCCTCCTCAAGGGAGATGCCCCAGGCTCAATCCCCCCCACAGTAAGAGGCTGGGTAGCGCCCCACGCTAACACACATTGTTCTAACTTGCCTTTCAGTGTGACAGCTTCCTTGTGGCGATTAAAAGCTCACATTTCCTGATCATACTCAAGAGACATATGAAATAACTTTCCTATTTTTTTAGCAGCCATTTACAAACAGTTACGACTCAAAGTCTTCCCTTCTCTGTAGGAAGCAATCACAGTCCTGTCAGACCTTCCACGTAAGTCAGGGGCTGTTGATTTCCTCTCATTTGCTTTTGTCTGATTTAATATTGGATTAATGCATCAGAACAGGTGGAAGTCTCTTTTCCTTTAAACTACATAAAGAAAGTAAAGACTTGGCATGTTACATTTGGTTTCACTGACATATTTTCTCACCTGTGTCCAAACTGACAACTCATGTTACTTAAACAATTATTATTTTTTTAAATGATATTACTTACACATTTTCCTCTCCAACGATGCAGATAGCAGAAAGTATTTTCACTGTTTCGGTCATCATGTGTGGTTGCTTTGGATCAATTGCTCTTGCTAACAGCAAGAGACTTCTTTCATCTCCTAGAATCCTTTGCAATCCGTACTTAAAGAAACAAAAAGCTTACAGTGAAAAGACAGTATTTCCCTTGAAAATTCATCATTGTCTTTGGGCTTCAGATTCTTAGGAATCCTCACCTGCCCTCCTCCCAACACAAAGTTTGTCAACACTCTACTAAGACCTTCTGGCAATTACTGCTCGGGAACACCAGACAGACACAAACACAAGATGAGGAAGACTTTCTCCAAAGACAGAGATTCAGCTCCTACAGAAGATACCGTATTTTTAAAACCAGGTATCCACCAAAAGATAAATCAGTTTTACTTGTTATCTATATATGAAACACCTCAAAGAGTATTCATTTGCAGCTCTGGCCTGGAGCGCTGAAATATTTTCCACATGATGGCCAACAGAGGTCAAAATAGGGTCTTTTTAACAAATTATCTTCATTTATTTATTAAATATTCTATTTCACTTTCTTTACACAGAAATAAAAAAAAACATTTTATCACATAACATTCATTGAGAAGCAGCATTACTTTTTTCATTGTCATTAGTTTCAGTATAGTTCATAAATCAGGTATCTAATTGTCTGAAGTTACGGTGTAACTGTAGGAGTAGAGGGGAGGGGAAGCGTGTGACAATTTAAGTTTTCTTTTTTCCATTTCAGACAGATTATTCTGTGAGATTTTACTACACTGAGTAACAGTACTTAAAAGTAACTTTAATGCATAGTTGTATTTGTTACTGGTGGGGTGGAATAAATCATTATAATAACACTTTAGACTTTGATATGAATAAAATAAAATTACAAGTTTAACACAACAATTTCTCAAAACCGCACTTTCACTTCATGAGCACAAGGAACCTGTTAGATGCAGCTTGAACTAGACAAGTTTTATCCCTCACCTACTACCTACCAACTTAAAAAATTTAAACTGGATTTAAAGTATGTTATACTGACAAAACCAATCATGTATTAAAATCGGTATTTAGAAATAGTTTCCTTTCAATTTCACAAGTGATTAATTCTAAATTTACTTACTTTAAATTCATTTTATCATTCTGTTCGCCAGATATTTTACTTGCAAATATCAATATTCAGAAAATTGAGACAAAACACATCAGAAAGTTTTATGAACACGACTCTCAGCAAAAAGTTACACTAAGTTTAAGACCTACATTTCCACAGAATCGCTGAATATACAAGGACACTAAACATATAAGTTTTTCATCCTTTTCTTAAATTGAGCATACTACATAGATTTGAAGACAACAAAAACAATCATGCTAGAAGTATTTGAATTTAAAATATTTCTTACTTTATTGTTCATAAATGCTTTGAGGCACTGGATAAGTTTGTGTTGATTCTTCTTATCAATACTTTCTTGCCTTGAAGGAGGAAAACAACTTAAGTACAAACAATCTTCACAAGCTCCTCCATCCCACCCTTCAAACGATCAGAGTCCTTACTGTTTCTTGTCCAGAAGCTTTTCCAATACATCCAGCAGAAGTCCAAGACCTTCGTGTCCAAAATTGTTAACCCAGCTGGAAAAAGAATAAAAATGCTTTCAATTATCTCTTAACCAAATGTAAAATTTGACAATCTGTGTCTCCGATACTGCTTGTACATCTCTGCAACCATTACGGCAAAGGATGCGTGCCAACAACTACAAGTTGTCGAGAACCACCGTGAAAGGTGAGAAGACAGTGCAGACAGCTGCAAACACTTAATTTAGCCTTTTCCAATGTGCTGAAAATCACTTTTTTGTGTCAACAACCATTAGCATAATTACTCTGGTTTAAAAAAAAAAAAAAAAAAAATCCCAAACAAAACACCCCACAACTCTATGCCTCAGCAAAAACAGCATGATGAGAACTACAGCAGAAATTACTACTCACCTGACTGGGTTGCTAGTTAAAGACACTCTCAAAGACTCTAGACAATTAAGAAGCTTTTCCTCTGAAATTCCAGATCGCAATTCATGAATATATTCTTGGGAGGACAGTGTGCATTCATGCTTGCTGTTTTTCAGTCCACCCTATCACAGAAGACAGAATGCTGCTTAACATTTTACATGTTATCATCTAAGTGCTCCTGTAAGGCAAGTATTTCCATTTTTCCCTGTACAACTATTAAAGACACACGACTTTGATTTATTGTGTTTAACAGTTTAGGTTTTGCATTACAAGGGTCAATATTTCTCTGGACTCTTCTGCACTACTCTGAGTAAAATGCATAGACTACATCTTGAATATAAAAACTGAATTCCATCGTTCAGTTGTATTAACATGTTGAACTGCTATTTAGGATCTACTTCATAACACTATATTAGAAACAACCATAGAGGGATACAAAGAAAACCCCATATTTGTTTTTAAGCTTGTTTATACCTGTCTTCCACTTCAAAAGAGCCGTGTATGATCACTATGGACATATTCTCACACTAAAATTAATTCTTTCTTCTCTAAAAGAAAGGAAGAGGATAAACCACTGAAAATCACTTTGAAAAGGAGCTGGTATACACTAACTGTTAAATCAGTGTTTTTAAAATGATACAACTGCATGACTCAATGATTTCTTGCTGTACTACATGTAATTCCATGTTTGGCCACTAAATGAGATCTCAGGAGGATCTTATTTGCTGCAACAGAAACATACGGAAGATTTGACAATAAGCTCACCTCCATGTTGAAGTGCAATTACAGAAGAAAAGCCACCTACAAGGTGTTTCAGTATTAAAATACCTGGTAATCAGTTTTTAGAGCGTTAGCATTCAAAACCATGAACAATATACAAACCATTTTACCAAATGTTGCAATTAATCTTTTGTACCGCTCTGACAAGGTGTGGAAAAAAAAAAGAGCGGTTATTAATATGCAGTTCCTAAAGCTCCCTGGCTCTAACTGGTAACCAGATACAAAGGCAACATGAAAAGCGCTTGACCCAGAACAGGATTTATAGGTATTTGGTTTTAATTGCATCAAAATCGTCAACTAATGCAATGTTGTAATTGTCTTTTTCAAAAAGCTGCTTCGGTTTGCTCTAATCAAACTCTTACTGTTCCCTTTACAAAAACAACACGAAGTAGAGCTGATGACAAAACATCTACATATGAGTTAATGATCTGACCTATGCACATTCTACTATCAATGCACAGAACTATGTAAATGTTCACAATATAGTTTCAGATTGTTTGATCTCACCTCAATAAAATAAAAACCTGGCAGAGACAGTGAAGGCATTAAGACATTGGACTGTGTCAACTTTGAAGACGTTTCTTGCTGACATGCACAGCACCTTTAGCTGGATAACACATGCCAGTGAAACGTCAAAGGACCAAGACAGACAAGGATTAGTAAATAGGATATAAACAAACTGCATTCTGACACTACCAATCTCCTAAACAAAGAGATGCTTCTCCATCAAAGGAAAAAGAAATAAATGAGTAGAGGTTATCTTTATAAGAGTAGCAACTAACTTTAAATCAGAAAATTGTAACATCACCAAATATTAAAAGTCAACCTAGTCAGAAAGATTATCACTCTAGATGACCATAACGTAAAAAAAATAGAAAACAGGAGCAGCTTTATGCCATTTGTTGCATTGGATGGAAACTGGAAAAGATTATATAACTGATGTACCCCATCCACCCAATACTGCACATAGGTTTTGTCATTTCAGGCAACTGCCACTCCCCAAAACCTCAGAGTAAAAAAGAACAGAAGCACTGCTGGAAGCCATAAAATGTATCAAGAGATGAGATAACAGCAACTTCAATTGAATACGACTTCCTATTAAGCTAGACCCTTAAAAGATCTCCGGAACGCCAAGTTGTCTTTTTTTTTTTTTTCTCCCCCCAGAAAAAAATATTTTCTGCGCTTTTCAGTCTGCTGCTGACTCCAAAGGAGTCTCCCATTAAGATCAGGCATTTAAGTTCCTTGCTACATTCTCTTTCATATTTAAACAAATGTGTGCTCTTGCTGCCTCCTCTTCCCACGTGTGGAGGTCACCAGTGATGCCCCTTCTCCTCTGGCCAGGCTCTTGCTTTCGGAAGCCCTAGGACTTCCCCAGAGCAGGTTAAAAGTTAAAGGAACCAGCAGGAGGATTTCCTAACCCTCCACACCACGCATTGCACAGACAGGCAGAAGCTTCCTTAACTACAGAGCAACGAAGAATGATCTCCATCTTCCTTTCCCCCCTTCCAAAAAGATGATCAAAAGAGATGGCTCATCAAAATCCATTCTTAAACCTGTTCAGCCAAGTTCTCCATTTCATGCGAGAGAATTATCTTAACAGGATTTCTTTGTTATTTTCTGCAATCAACTTTTCAGTCTCAATCCACTCTCACCTCTCATGCTAATTGGAGGGCTACAACCAGGTGTTATTTCTTTTATCTCTCTATTCAAAGGGTTTGACTGGAACACTATTTTTTAAGTAACACTATGACTTTACATGGATCAGATTTTAATATATATATTTTTCATGTACTTTGAAGTACAAGGTCTCAGTGAAAGACAGACTTTACATGAGAGCATCTAACAAAGACAAAAGCAAAAGCAAAGTACAAAGAAACTCAGAGGGTTAGGTCCTACACCACAACTTTCAGAGATTAACCCAATGCATAAGATCAGAAATCTCAGAAATTACATTATGACCAGTTACATTCATGGTACTACAATTAAGGCACAGAATTATTCATTCAGGACAACTCAAATGAAAGCCTGGATCACACATTTAAAAATCCTTCTCGGAGGAAGCTGGAAGCGATTAAGTTCTAGTGAAGAAAACTAAGCTTAAGGGAGCTCCTAGAAGTCTCACAATAAAAGTGTATAAAAGAAAAACAGGTTTGCTTTCCCATGAAGGTGGTAAATCTAACCAACTCAAATCTGTGTAGGACACATTCAAGGTTTAAGGGACAACAGTGACAGAGACAGGATAGACACTTTACAGCGCAGGATACAGTGAAAAATAAACTTAAGCTTAATTTACACAAGCTTTGGTTTAAATTATTTAGAAAACATTGCAAAATTAAAATATTTTAGAGATCTCTATTTCAGTTTATCCTACTCTACTTAGACTCCCAGTAATTTTGAAGCTGTTAGCTAGACGAAGAAATTCCTCACACAGGACTTAGCAAATGTCCAGCTTTAGGCAGTACTCAGACATGTCACCAGAGGCCTGTAAACAAATGGGAATGCAAAAGCAGTCTGCCCTCCATGGGGAAATTAGGAGATATTCCATCTACTTGGTGGTAAAGAACTGTGGAGCATGAACCAAATGGATGGGCTATAACAGTTAAAACACAAGATTAGAAAAACCTGCACAATCTACTCCTCTTTTAGTCACCAGAGAAGTTGGACCTTGTTAGGGCTCAAGCTAAAGCCAAGTTCAGCTGAAGAAGCTGTAAGTCTACAGCTTCCCTCGAACAGAAATCTCATATTACCTTAGGTGTTTGCTTCTATCCAATCCACAATCCTGTTCCATAACTTAAAAAACAAACC